AATTCAGACTTTCATTTCAGAATTCTGACTTTTTTCCCATGTTAAACTGAAATAAAATTTCAAAATCAGTTTACTTTTTCTTTTTCTTTTCAGTGGCCCTAATCCTCTTCCGTACATCTTAATGTGTGGCAGTTTACAACTTGAACAATGACGTCTGCTGCTTGAGAATAGCCTGTGGAGGAGGGAGGAGGGAAATAAGCAGGCAGTCAGAGAGAAGTGCCCACCCCCTTCTCCCCCTTTGCAACAAACCTGCCTACTGTAGCAGAGCGGCTGACGGGCTGTGATGCTGCAGCAGTTTGCGGATAAAAGTCCCGCTGCGTTGCTGCAGACATAAAGAACTCAGTTGGATGTCTGTGGATGCTGAGCAGGCTGAAAACCCTCCGCAGGACTTTAAAGCATTTTAACAACAGAAATGTAAAGTAATCAATTGTTGTTCTTGTTTTTATTTTTTCAGATAAAATATAAATAAAGAAGCAAATTTTGATATTTTCAAATATTTACATTTTATTTATTTACAGAAAATGAAAACAGGACGGATGCTTTCTATGATTCATTGATTGATTCTTTATTTCTTTATTTTTTAATTAGACCAGATTGTTATTTATAGCAATGACCTCATTATTTGTGTTCCTGCAGAATCTGCACCATGGAAGTGGCTCCAGAGTATAGCACCACAGTTAACACTTTCACTACCACAGCTCTGTTGGTGGCATGCCTCACTCTGCTGCTCTCCGTCTGGCTGTGGCTCCGGCAGCGGGGGTCCATCCCGGGCCTGCCGGGGCCCTTCGCCTGGCCCGTTATCGGGAACGCCGCGCAGCTCGGCACCGCGCCGCACCTCTACTTCAGCCGCTTGGTGAAAAAATACGGCAACGTGTTCCAGATCCAGCTGGGCAGCCGCGCGGTGGTGGTGCTGAACGGAGACGCCATCAGACAGGCGCTCATCAAGCAGGGTCTGGACTTCGCCGGGAGACCGGACTTCACCTCCTTCAAGCACATCTCTGACGGCCACAGCATGGCGTTCGGGACCGTCTCAGACTGGTGGAAGACGCACCGCAAAGTGGCCCAATCCACGGTGCGCATGTTCTCCACCGGGAACCCGCAGACCAAGAAGACGTTTGAGCAGCACGTCCTGGCCGAGTTTAAGGAGCTGCTGCAGCTGATGGTGCAGAAAACACGGGAGGAGCGCTTCTTCCAGCCGAACACCTACCTGGTGGTGTCCACGGCCAACGTGATGAGCGCGCTCTGCTTTGGGAAGAGATACTCCTACGACGATGAGGAGTTTAGGGAGGTGGTGGGCAGGAACGACAAGTTTACGCAGACTGTGGGAGCGGGGAGCATCGTGGATGTGATGCCCTGGCTCCAGTACTTCCCCAACCCTATTAAAACCATGTTCGATGAGTTCAAGCTGCTTAATAATGACTTTGTGGTGTTCATCCGGGATAAAGTCATTGAGCACAGGAAAACCATCGAGTCTGGTGCCATCAGGGACATGACGGATGCTTTTATTGTGGCTCTGGACCAAATCAGAGAAAAGTCTAGACTCTCATCTGAGAAAGACTACGTGACCCCCACCATAGGGGACATATTTGGAGCCAGCCAGGACACCCTGTCCACTGCACTGCAGTGGATCATTCTCATCCTTGTCAAGTAAGCAACTCTAAGCAGTCTAAAGTCAAATATTTAAAATTAGGTTTATTTGATAAACAGATTTTTTAAAATCACTTTTCATAAATATGTAATTTAGATCCACCTAACAATAAAACGATTAAAAGACAGGATAGTTTAACTGATTGTACTAACGTTTTACCTGCCAAATCTAATTAAATTAGTTGTATTACATGTCTGCTTTTATAGACGTTTTAAAGGGACAATTTATGTTAAAAAAAAACAAAAATTTTATCTGAATTTTATCTCAAATGAGTAACGCTTTATATTTGTAGATCTATCAGACTCTTGACCCTTGCTGGCATATTTTCTATTTAAGTTTTGTCAATCTAAATTTGGGTGACTCAATTAACCCCAATAGCAAAAAAGACAAATCCTTTTAATTATTTTTATCACTTGTATTCTAGATCTGTTTTTAGGTCCAATCAAGTCAGCCTTGGTTTGACCATTTTATAAACCTTAATCCCATTATAGAGACGTTTCAGCAGCCTTATCTCAAGTTTTCAGCCATTTTGTTTAGACAGAGAACAGAAGGCATTGTGTTATTTAAAAAAAAATCTGTTTAAACAGATTTCAGACTGATTGCATCGGATTAGTAAGCAGTGCTCCCGGCATTGTGTAGGCAGTGCAAAGATATGAGGTCCTACAGTGTGTGTGTGTTATGTAAGAACATTTAGAGCAGCTGAGGGAATGACAGACACTGACAGGGACACAAAGAAATGAAACTGAACATGGGAGAAAGTGAATGACTTATACGGTCAGGATAAAGCAAAGGGTTCAACTGTTTTCCTCAAAGAGTCTTCTGTTGAGCCATCGTCCAAATGTGGGTTTAGACAGAAGGGTGTCTGACGTCTCACCTCTGACTGTAGGTACCCTGAGATGCAAGCACGTCTTCAGCAAGAGGTGGACAGAGTTGTGGACCGGGTCCGCCTCCCCGCCATTGAAGACCAGCCTCAGCTGCCGTACGTCATGGCCTTCATCTACGAGGTGATGCGCTTCACCAGCTTTGTCCCCCTCACCATTCCCCACTCTACGCTCACAGACACCTCAGTCATGGGCTACACCGTGCCAAAGAACACGGTCATCTTCGTTAACCAGTGGTCCATCAACCATGACCCAGCAATTTGGTCCAACCCAGAATCCTTCAACCCAGAGCGCTTCCTTGATCCCCAGGGGGCGCTGAACAAAGATCTGACCAGCAACGTTCTCATCTTTTCATTGGGACGACGGCGGTGTATTGGGGAGGAGCTCTCCAAGATGCAGCTGTTTCTCTTCACGTCCCTGCTGGCGCACCAATGCAACATCATCACTGACCCGGAAAAGACCCCAACCCTGGACTTCAATTATGGCCTGACTCTTAAACCGCTCGATTACTCCATAGCAGTGTCTATGCGGGAAAATTTGACTCTGCTGGATGCAGCCACCTCTCCACTGCTAAAAAAGGAGTCTTGATTAGATTTACAGAAAAGGACTGAAATGAAACAAATGAAGAATAATGGTTGGACCCAGGCTTTGGTCTATGCCTTTAAATACAGCAGATAAACAGATGCAGACAAATCTCTTAACGCCTCTGCTTAATATTTGCACAGAGCCTTAAAATAAATATGTTATTGCTTAAGCACATCCTCACACACAAAAATAAATGTAGAATATGCAACCCAATTAATTAAATGGGAAATAAAATCCCACATTTTTGTATTTATTTTGAACAAATTCACCAGTTGCATAAATATTGACACCCTCTGTTGACAACTTGGAGATCTCACTTTGAGACAGATGTCTGTGGTGTTTAGACCATATGAATCTGATCATTCTACTACCGAAAAACCAAAGAAAACCAATGTTCAATTCACTAAATCTTTATTTATAACTGACAGGGTAAGAATTATGGGAGACTAATAAGCTTTTTATTGATTTGCAGACTCCCAAAAAACCAGTAATGGTTCTTAAATTGTCTTTATACCCTAGAAGAACTCCTCATTGTAATGATTGGGCCATTGTTTTGTTTACCTAAATGTGAAAGTGTTGTAGTCAAGCTAAAGAAAGGATGAAAAAAATCATGTTATGCTGCTGTAATTAAAAATTATACACATTTTTCAAGGTTTTTAACACATGTTTTACTACTGGTACATATAACTGTGTCTAAATCTAAATTTCTAACCTCTGGGGTTCTTGTTTGTGCAGCCCAGAAAGCAATGGGACATCTGCTTCACAGGAGACACGATGCAGAACATCCACCCACATTCAGCATTAGTCAGATAGGCCAAGTAGCAATTACCTATGATCTTTGTATTTATCAGACCTGAGGAGTGCAGTAAAAACAAGAAAACTGTCAGTTAAAAAAGAAAAAGCAGGCAAATATGAAGCTCTGATCCACCAAAATATAGACACACGTAAAAAAAGCTGCTCCTTGCAAAGTTTGTACTGCTGCCGAAAAAGACTAACTGTACACTGAAGCCTTTTGCTGTAGCTACGCTTCCCAGAGATCAGGGAGAAAATACACTTTATCTACGTTTTTGTATGAATCCTTTCAAATTTGCCAGTAATTTTGTATGTAGTCTCTTAAAAACTGTTTCTTTTGCATCTATTTTCATAACTGTGATGCTGCAAGCTGCAGCAAGTATCCTCATGTGACTATCCAGTAGTGATGCCGCAGTTTTAGGGACTGCGCTACAGGAGAATAAGCTTTCTACTGCCTAAGCTCTTAAACTTCAGCTCTACTAAAATAAGATGTTTAGTAGCAAATTGTACATTAATATATTATAGTGTAAGTATATTACTCAGGAAAAAACACATAGATGCTTAAATCAAATATTATTTAATCTAAAGTGCTTTTTAAAATATATAATATTAAAGGATGCCCTGCAGAGATGGCCAGTTTGGCATATAAATATATAATAGAGTGGTCTTATTCAGCATTACATTATAGAAATGGACCAGTAAGAGATTCACACCTAATCATAACCTTAAACAATACCAAGGTTTGATCACAGTAATTAGACGCATTACTGTCAAACTATGGGTTAGGGATTAGAGTGAAAGGTGAAGTAGCTTACTGTCAGCCAGCTGACTGACAGTGTGCAGCAACAGGGGATGAGTAAAGGCAGTACTGGGTGACTATGCTCCATACAGCTTGCACGTTCTCATCCAAAGGGCATTAAACAGATGGAACTGTGTGATGGAAAATATGACTGTTTTTTTTTTCAAACTGAGCTACTGGAAACCAGCCCATGTCTGCTGGATCATCTCTTCCTTGCTTATGCTGGGATAGAAATGCATGTTAGTAAAAAAAAGTCTCATAATGAAAGCCTAATCTTGTGATGCATGGGCAACGTGACTTCTTGCATATATAATATAACGCAACTACAGGTTGGTAATATTTAGAGGTCTGCTTTATTGCATGCAAGCTCAGTGTTTTTGTAAATCTTCTGTCAGAAACGCAAAACTGATTTTTTTAAAACTGAGAAAACCAAATAAAATGTTTTATCCATTTTCAGTTTCTGTTATATCTCTTTTGGCTGGACTCCTCCAAACACTATTAAATTCATGTGGTGCAAAACATAGAGGAAGAAATACAAATACCTAATATTCAAGAAGCAGAATTATTTCTTTTAAAATATGTTTAAAAAGGCTTTCATTATTTTGTTACGGCCCCTGTAGTAAAGACATAATACTAAATAGCTTTCTGATAAATAATGATGACATGTACTGGTAAAAAAAAAACAGCAAATGATAGATCACTCATACCAGTTTTACTTTTTTACTGTTTTATTTTAACGATGATGGAAAAACTAGGTTGTTGCACTTTTAGCTTCAATCATATTGAGATAGGCTATATCTGAGAATTTCAGAGCTGCAAATGGCTTTTTGGTTTATTTCATATATCAAATAATGAACCCAGCATCTGCAACAGACTGGCGACATGTTCAGGGTATACCTTGCTTCTCACCTAAAGACTACCAGAGATAGGCCCCAGCTCCACTGGTCCCCGATGGAATAAGCTGGAGAAGATGGATGGATGGAAGTGCTTTTGTTGCTTATGATTAGGATAAGAATGATAAGCAACATCAATGTTCACCCTGACACACGACTGCGTTCCCAGGTTCACCACCAATCACAACGTGAAGTTTGCAGATGACACCACGGTGTTGGGCCTCATCAGAGACGACGACGACCAGGACTACAGAGAGGAGGTGGAGCAGCTGGTGGACTGCTCCACGATTATAACAGAATAATTTCAAAAGAACAATTAATTCTGTTTAAAAGTAAAAACAAAAGTTGGTGGTCATAATCAATTGATGGTCTGAATAGATATTTTTGTCGGCATACATGATATCAGGTACCTTTAAATCTGTTCTTCTGAATGAAATCTCTTTACTAAGCTCTGACAAGGACATGTTCAAAGCTGCAGCAACATAAGACAACAAGATCAACATTGATGAGTATGCCATGACTGTACATGACTCTACATCAAGAGATGCATTGAGGAAGTCAGCACCACAAATATCATAACCCGGGCCAACCAACAAGCCTGGATAACTGAGGAAAGCATGGAACTCAGCCTTCATCTCTGGTGCTAAAGAGGCACAGATGACAGTGCGAGCCTACTTTAACCGTGCCGTCAGGTTAGCAAAGCAGATACACAGTTGGAAAATCCAGCATCTTTTCTCCGACATCAGCAACACCAGGAGGATGTAGCAAGGGTTATGGACAATTAAAGACTACAACACATCCTCCCCCCCCCGGTTGGTGCAGTTGATGTTGACTTCTCAGCACTCCAGCAGTGAAAGCTGTTTCGCCATCAGGGAGAGAAGGCACTCTGCTTTGACACAGTGTAAATGTGGAAGACTCTGAGGAGAGTCAGCCAGAGGAAGGCACCAGGCCCTGATAACATACCTGGGTGGTTGTTCAAGGAGTGTGTAGGTCAGCTGGCAGGTGTTCTCACAGACATTTTTAACACCTCGCTGGACCAATCAATAGTTAGCCTCGTGAGACCATCCTGATCTCGCGAGCTTTCAAGGTTTCACTCGCTAATCAGTCTGGAGACTCTCCGTTAAAGAAAATTTGGAGCCGTTCACCAAACGAACGTCCAATCGGCGTTGGCTTTGAGGCGGGTTGAGGAGTGACGCAACGAGAAGCTCGACAGTTCAGTCTAAAGAACATGGCGGCTTCAGGCGATGAAACTAGCGTTAGCGTGGCTATCGAGCAAGTTTTATCAGAATTACAGAGTATTTCTTCACTGAAAGAAGAGCAAAACACTGCTCTGGAGGCTTTTCTCAGAGAAAAACATGTTTTGGCTCTTCTCCCCACTGGTTTCAGCAAGAGTTTGATCTATCAATTGGCTCCTCTTCGTCGTCGCTCTGTTACGTCATATGCTTCGTTGATCTGATTGGTTTATTTGGCCCGTCTATCACCAACATAGGCCAATCAGCAAATCCATCTGGCGGAGTCAGGTTAATCAATAGTGCCAGCATGCTTTAAGTCTGCCTCCAACATTCTGGTCCCAAAGAAGCCTCTAGTCACCTCATTTATTGACTACTGGCCCGTCGCACCGACTCCCATCATGATGAAGTGTTTAGAAAGGCTGGTAAAATAAAACATCATCTCCAGACTCCCCTGACATTCCATTTGCACCAAATTCCCGGGAGTGTACATCACAGAAAACCTCACCTGGTCTGTTAACACCACCTCACTGGTTAAAAGGGCCCAGAAGCACTTGTACTTCCTGCGGAGGATGAGGAGAGCCCACCTGCCCCCACCCACCCTCACCACCTTCTACAGAAGCACCATAGAGAGCGTTCTGACCAGCTGTCTCACTGTGTCGTGTGGAGGCTGCAGCGCCTCAGACTGGAAGAAGGTGAAAACAGCAGAGAGGATCATGGGGGCTTCTCTTCCCTCCATTAAAGACATTTCATCCCAGCGCTGCGTGTCCAGAGCCCGTAACATCACCAATGACCCCTCACACCCCCACCATGGACCGTTCTCCCTGCTGCCCTCTGGGAAGAGGCTTAACAGGATCCATTGCAGGTCCTGCAGGTTCTGCAACAGCTTTTTCCCCGCTGCCATCAGACTGTTGAGCTATTGGTCTCTGCTTCACACTTGCATCATTATTTTCCACTACCAATGTTGCTGGACGTTTATCATGCTTTTAAATAGGACATAACTCAATGTTCTACAACATTTAGCACCATATTTATTTTGCACTGCACCAAACTTTTTTTTATATATCACTTCCCTTTTGCACCATTATTTTAAATACATTTTTTTTCCTCCTACATTGTTACTCTTCGATCACTGCTGCACTTCATATTGGTTACGTTTATCTTACTCCAACTGCAATCTCATTGCACTTTTGTAAGCTGTATGCAACAAAACTCTGTGCATACAAAATGACAATAAAGTTCGTCTAAGTCGAAATTATAGTGAAATATATAATTTATTAAACTATCAATTTGGCTCACAATAACATGTAAGGCATGTCAGTAAGTAAAAAATGGAAAACCCCAATGACCTTTGGTTAGTTCTATGCTACCATTAGTGCAAACAGGTTTATACATTTCATATCTACAGAACTTTTATTCAGATCAACAGGATATTTGGAAAAACAAATGCCTCTACCCTGAATTCAACTCAACAAGGCATAACAAACCTGAATGCATTCTCATCAGTTTCAGCGACAATATTTTCTATTTCATGAACAGGCTGAAAGTAAAATAGACGCACACCAGCATGGCCATGTTTCATGCTCTCCAAGTACTCTTGGCCTGCATCCAGGTCAGGTGGGAACATAATGGGAAGTGTTTCTAAGATTCCCCCCCTGTTTTTCTTTTTTATCTCAGGCTGCCAGAACATCCTGTACTCGTTCAAAGTGAGGCATGTAGCTGCCGACTAACCAGAGCGTGACAGAATCAGACAGTAGATGGCTGCTGATACCAAGCGGCCTGCTCTCTCTTTTTTCCCCCCGTCCTTCTTTTCAAATATGAAATTAATTCCCAAGACTAAACAGCCCCTGAAGAAACATGTGGCAGTGCTCCAAGCATAACATTTATGAATGGGAGTGAAAGCATGGCTTTTCTTTTGTCAAACTGCAATGACAAATGATCAGATAGTGATGATTTGTCAGGGAAACTTCTAGCATCTGCAAAAGAATCAAGGGCATCGATGAATTGAGATCAGTGCAGAGAGGCTTACAAGTTTTTTCTATTTAGTCCAAGTCAACTTAGAGGCAAGTCCAATTTAAGTCTTAAGTCTCTAAAGACTTAAAAAACATTTTCTCTTCAAAACGTCGGCATGTAGTTCACCTTTAATTCTGTATCACTGAAGCTACTGACTGCTGAGATGAAAGTCAGCTTCTAAGTCGGTAGACTTAGTCGTCTGTAAAATAATTTTCTCTCTATATATATATATTAAAGTTGGTCTAATAATTTTTCATATTTGATCTTCCATTTCAGACAATATTCAACACTTTGTAATTGTTTGCTTCATTAAATCCTACAAAATACACTGCAGTCTTGGGCTGAAATGTGACAAAACGCAATGAAGTTCCTAAAATTCAATTAAATTCAGTTTATCTACATAGCGCAAATTCACAACACATGTCATCTCAAGGCACTTTGAGATGACATGTGGAAGACAGTCAAATTTTTTCGCTTTCTATCTAAGCAAAACCAGTTGAGTGCATCGACTTATTGACACAAATGCAATCCCTCACAGTAAGCATGCTTGTAGCGACAGTGGAGAGGAAAAACTCCCTTTTAAAGGAAGGAAACCTCCAGCAGAACCAGGCTCAGTGTGAGCGGCCATCTGCTGAGGCCGACTGGGGTTCAAGGAGACAGAAGCAGAGACACAAAAAGCAGCTATTAAAGGCGGCCCCCGTCCAGGAAACACACAGCCAGGCAGACAAGCTCAGAGCTACCTCCCATGTCAGAGGAGGAAGAAAGCAAATCCAGCCAGTCTCTGTCAGAGAAACAGGACTCCACTGAAAAACAATCCGATATCCAACATCTATAAACAAGGGTGTTGATGGAAGCAGCACAGCTGATATTTCTCTTCAGGATGTTGTCACAGCCAAATAGGAACAGATGAGGCAAAGTAAATATGAGAAAAAACAGAGAGAGCATAAAGATTGAACTAACATATTCTGCAGAGTGGGAGAATAGAGATAGAATGAAGAAGAATGATAAAATAGGGGTGCCT